TATTTAATAATTTGTTAATCTATGTGATATGATGTAGTATAGTGGTTAAGAACAGGGACTCTGTGTAAAATGATGTAACCACTATGGAAGGCAGTATGGCCCTTTCTCAAAAACTTGCAAACAGAAATACCATTTGACCCAGCAATTCCACTACTGGGAATATACCCTAAAGAAACCATAACCGCCAACCATGCAGATATATGCACAACCATCTTTACTGCGGCTTTGTTCACAATAGCAAAGAGCTGGAAAAACCCAAGTGCCCATCAACAAACGAATGGATAGAGAAGCTCTGGTACATTCAGACAATGGAATATTATGCAGCACTAAAAATGAACTCATGAAATATTATACAAAACGGGTGACCATGGAGGACATTATGCTGAGCAAAATATCTCAATCACAAAAAGACAAATACTGTATAATGCCACTGTTATAAAACAGGACTGACAGAGGAATTGTGGGGAAACTAAGAAAAGAGGGGATAAATAATGTACATGGCATTGAAACAGAGAGAACTGTATAAAAGGAATATATGATTAGGTATTACTGGAATGACAAGGGTCCAGAATAAGAGCTGCATATTAAAGTGGTCAGGGTGGGGGACAACTCTGTAGCAATGAAAGAACTTCTTTTCCAAATAAAAAAGTGAACTGTGGGGGGAAGGCAGGAAAATGAGCAGCAACGAATGAATAGAAATCCAAGTTCTTTATAAACTTACAATAAAATCTCAATTGAAAAAAAAAAGGATAGAGACTCTGGTGCCAAACTGCTTGGCTTCAACTCCAAGCTTTGGCACTTACTGGGAAACCTTGAGAAAGCTATTTAACCACTTTGTCCTCCATTGACTAGACTGTAGTGATGATTAAATGATTTTATAAATGTGCTGACAGGAAGAGATCAATATTTATTCCCCATTAAAAAACAAAAAAAAAAGGGCATCCAGACAGAGTGTGGAAATTATCAAACAATATCACTATATCATACTCAACCAAAATCCTGCTGAGGATTATTCAAAAACAACAACAGTATGTTGACAGAGAATGACCAGAAATACAAGCTGGGTTTAGAAGAGGTGACGGCAATAGAGGCATTATCACCAATGCCAGATGGATCTTGGCAGAAAGCAGAGTACCAGAGGAAAGTCTATCTGTTTTTCATTGACTATACAAAGGCATTTGGCTGTGTGGATCACAACAAATTGTGAATAACTTCGAGAATAGAAATCCCAGATTTGTGCTTATGCAAAACCTACAGTTGGGCGGGGGTGGGGGAGTGGGGGAAGGAGTGAATCAGGGATGCGACCTGTTTCCATACTTTTCAGACTATATGTGGACCTGAAGTGCTTGCTGCAGAAGGTCAAAGATTGTAGCCTTCAACATGGTTTGAAGCTCAGTATCAAGAAAACAAAGATTCTCACCACTGGGTTCACTGGCAGCATAGTGGTGGATGGTAAAGAGACTGAGATTGTTAACAGCTTAAGTTTGCTTGGCTCAACAATCAACACTCTTGGCAGCAGCAATTATGAAATATAAAGACTAATTTCTTTGTGAAAATCTGCTGTCAGGGACCTCTCCAGAGTACTGAGAAGCAATGATGTCAGTCTAGAAACTAAGGTGCACCTGATCCAGGCCATGGTCTTTGCAATTATTTGTATTGCA